TGGAATTGAGCATATTTTAATGCCACGTACTATGAGCCATGAATCCACCTTTACTAGGATGCGAAAGCGCTTTTGGTGCGAGCTAAAGTGACGACGTCTCGCCGCAGAAATTGTAAACGTTTTCGTGCAAAAATAACGCAGTGTACATTAAGCAGATCGCGAAGGCAGAAGCTGCAGCGAGCCGCCACCTTATCCTGAGACTAAAATGATCGTATGATGCGGTTATAGAGTATGTCGATTGAGACCGGTATGAGGCATGGTTTCTCATGATCGCCAAAGTATATCCCAATGGTCTGGCTAATGATAGCTATAAGCTGGTGTCTTTCATGCTAGTGCTGGTGAGTTTGAAGAATGGCTGCAAGTCGCTATTTTGCGGCCAGGCCCTGAAATTAATAGGCATGATCGATACTTAAAAAGTTAAAACAATACTGATAATTCAGCACTACCGCTGGCGTGTCCACCATGGGGAGCAGTGAATCTTTATGGATAGTGGCGAGAACATCCAATTAATTAATTCACGAATTGTTCGGGCTAGTCCTACAAGTTACGAGTTTCTCACAATCAGAATACTACAAAAGCAAAGATGGGTAGAACTGCAGAATGAAAAATGATATTGACGTGACGCAGTTGCTGGAAAGATTGTTCGGCAATAAAGCAACGATACAAGATCATCTTCGATCACGTTTGCTTTGAGGCTCGAAGGAAGTCGACACATCCTAGCTCGATATGATTTATGAGCACTTTTTTGCAGAGACGTCCAATGAATAGCCAATCTTGTCACTGTTTGTCAGAGAAAAAAGTAGCTTTGAACGCACATTTAAATGCAATACTAAAAGAAATGCTGAATGCAATGCAAATCGCCTTGGCGCCGCAATTTCATTCTTTGAGTGCCCTGTTGATTTTTTTTATTCGAAAAAACGATCAGCGTGAAACATCTATACGTCATCTTTTACCACCACAAGTATGAGCTCCAGAAATTCCTTTCTTTTTGCTAAGAGCCACAAATTCTGGCAATATTTATCTACAATGTCATGAATCGATGCAGCAAAACCCTTCAAATACCGACTTCAATACGAGCGAGCTCACTTTCGCGATTTTGATTGCTTTACAAAGTTTAACATTATTACTACACAATGAAGTAATGAGAAAACATTTCAAAAGCTTTGAACAACAATCTTGTCCAACATGATTAGCACTGAATATATGACTGGTATAGTCTCAAATAATCTATTGCAACCGGTGTGTTTTCTGCCATTGATTGTATCTGTCGCACATTGGTACAAATGCTTTTTGTCTTCCTGTATGTAAAGCCTGGAATTTGTTGATTTTTTGACACCAAATACATGTCAATGTGTCATCAGGGATGATAGTATTTTTCTACGACTTGGTAATATACCAATGAATGTTTAATCTGGTGCGCCTTCTTCTCTGAGTAAAACAGCGCTCGAGATTCTGGTAATCTTCATCTATCTACGTAACTAATCTATCTACGAATGAACGTCAGTGTCTTCGCATTTGATGTGAACGCATATTAAACTGCCTCGACAAATGGCTTCGTTTTCTAATGTGGTTTTGACAGTGTATGAGATGTGTCACATTTGGTGCAAAATTACCCATCTGTTACTTTTGATTTTACCCATTTTAACTATAGCTCTGATCACATCAACTACTTGGTATGTTCTTGGCAAGCTTAATTTAACACTGTTGAATTAGGGCAATAGAGAAGGGCAAGGATCGAATGCTTAATATGTCGCGCAAAGAACGCAACGCTGCAATGGTTTACAAATTAGAGCGAAGACGTTGCTAACACAAAAGGTGCCCCAGGAAAGACTTTAGGTTAGTATGTCCAAACTTGTACTTTTTTGGCCTGTCCGCTCCCTCTCTGGAAGCGGAGATTGCGCCAGACGACCAACCTAATGGTTTCAAGTATCATATCACACGTAGTTCCTCTGAGCTTAAGATGCTCCTCGATTAACCCTCCTAAGTAAAATGATGCTCTAACCGACTTTAATCCAGCAGAGACTCGGACGACAACCGGTTTCAATGAGGATCTCAAAGAATATACAAAAGTTACCACATGTATTGAATGATGCTGAACCTTACACTTTTCGGGCTTCAAAATCTTATCACCAAATATGGTATATACAAGAGATCTTAACGCCTCTTCCTGAATGTCAGTAAGGAAACGGGATGTGTCTCGTTTGTGGTGTACTTCAAGGTCAACAAAGAGGTCAAAGTCAATTCAGCTAGACGCAGTATTCATTTTGATCGTCAATTTTCCAGTTGCCTTGCATCAGCTATTCATTGGTGAGTTAAGCCTGCTTTTTGTAACATTTACGTGCAATCAGTGTATTTCCCTTGTTAAACTGACCGAGCTGATCCCGGTACGGCTTGAGCAAGCCCACGTAAAATAACGGGTGGGTGCGCATCCGTTTTGGGAGGTTCAGCGTATACGCCAGGCCCCGCTTGGCCACAACCTTAAACGGTCCGATGAAACGTGGACAAAGCTTCGTCCTGAAGATAGCAGAGGCTGCATGTGTAGGCAATTTTTTAGAATTTAATAAAGCCAGGTCCCCGACCTTAAAGCTTTCCACTTTGCCTCTTCCTTTTTCATCTGCATATTGTTTCTGCAGGTCTTGGCTTTCAGCCATCGCATCGCGAAAATGTCGTAGGACACTCAGTCTGGTAGACAAGAAGTCATCGACTTCTTTGCAGATGGTGAGGGGGCTGACACTAGCTAGCCGTTCGGCTATTCCTCCCCCACCAATCCCTGAGCCATGGGATGGCGGCGTCAGCAGGACGCGTGGGTGAATCAGCCCGTTCACGTAGAACGGCGAGTAGCCAGTAGACGAATGCATTGCATTGTTCAGTGCAAACTCTACCAGTGGCAACATGGCGCTACGGCGTCTCAGCGCATACGCTGTGAAGAACGTCTTCGATGACGCGATTCACCCTTTCGGTTTGAACATCGCTCTGCGAACGGTCCGCTGTCGACATATCCAACTTGGTGCCGAGCACCCTGAAGATAGTTGACAAAACTTTTTCTATGAGACGGGGTCTCTATTAATGACAATCGACTCTGGGAGTCCGTGTTGTCGGAAACACGATGCACGAACAGCGTTACTGTACCGGCCCCGTCGATGGTATCTGGCGCCGCTGCCAAATGAGCCTTCTTGCTCAACCGGCCGACGTATACCACGACAACCGTGTTGCCCGCCGAATATTATAACAGGCCAAATACAAAGTACAAACTCATGGACTGCCAGCACCCAGTGGGTACCGGTAAGCTGGCCAGCGGCGCAGCC